CTGCACACTGACTACAAAACCACAATTTAATTTGAACAGATATTGTTTATATTCCAGTTCGGTCTTAATCAAGTCAAAATATTTAAAAATACTCTTTTAAGCTACAATATATTCCTGACCATCAGTATTGACTTCAACTGGTGACAGAAGGAGGCACCTGCTCTGTGTTTAGATGATGAAAACCAAAGATTGTGAAACAAGAAACAACACGTTGCTTTGAATGAAAATAAGATGTACAATGAAGACGTACTCTGCGGAGTTGAGCTGCCGTAGTGCTGAAGGGCCAAGCCGGCACACCTGTTCAGTGGGAGGCGAGAGCTCTAAATACAGGCCAGAGGAGCGTCGGGGGGTGGGGGGGGTTCGCGCTGTCCAGCAGCCATCTTTTCATTAGCCGTGTCTAATGAAACTGCACAGGGCCCGAGGAAGAAAGGCCTACCCGCTGGGACACCCTGCCCTGCCCGAAATTACACCAGAGACTCGCCCACAAAAGAAGCATTCCGTCCACACAGGGACACTGGCACTTGACACCAAATTTTAAACCCGCAGGTTGTTTCTTTGACAAGTGGAAATTTCCATTGCGTCCCTCACCCAGTCGGGGAGGCTTGGAGAGAGAAACAAGTGTCGAGGGGGTTTAATCACACAGTCAGTTTGCAATCCCCATTTCACACACACACACAGTCCCCAGACCCCTCGGTTACTGTACGCTTTGTTTGGAAACAGTTGTCAAGATGGAAATATCTGATTCTCTTTCTAATCACTCAGGCAGAAATGACTGTTATTAAGCTTTCTTTGAGAGGTTTTTCTTCTAACGCCACCGACAGACACCGGGGAGCTGACAGCCTGAGCGGCTCGCGCGACTGCAGATTGTGTCTGCATACTTATGTGTGCATGTGGGGGCAAGCAGATACACACATGCAGACAAACACACGTGAACACAAGCACAGAAAATGTAAGCTCAAAGAGGGTGAGAGTGACCCGAACACAATCAATATCGTCATGTTGTCAGTTCATAGTTTTGGACTAGTTTTCACCATATTGTAACCAAAGACTCAATATTAATGAATTTGTTGATTATATTTGCATTGAATCAAATAATCAGTGAAGCAATACAATGGCAGAAAATAATGTTATTAAAATGTCTTCATAATCCATTTTGATAACAGTCATTCTTCTGGTTGCTTTGGATATTTTCACTATTTGACGCTGAACCAAATTCAAATAGGAAAATATGATGGGTTGTTTTTAACATAAGAGTTCTGTTTTGTTATAATCAGATGCTGCATTGATACAGGGGTGTTAAAATGGTTTCGGCATGTAATATCTTGTATTTAAAGTGATAGAGTCTGTCATCCCAAATGAGGCAACATACCTCTAAATCCATCATCTCATTCCGGGTTTTCACCTCTTATTAAAAGGATAGTTAATGTGTTTTCTGTCAACTAAAGCGATGGCCCATTCTTTATGATGAACTAACCCGTGTCTGAACCCTGAGGAGTAACATTCTAGGAAGTCTACTATTACAAATCCCTACCTGCACTGTACGCACCCGGTGTGTGTGTGTGTGTGTGTGTGTGCGTTTTGTGCCCGTGACCCAGAGGTCAAAGCATTCCATCGATGACAGCCGTATCCCCTCAAATGCACCGAGGAGCCATGTGCTGGCTTGGAGGTGAGCTTGATGAGTGGAGATGAGCCACAGACAGGGGTGAGAGGAGGTGTCACGCAGATAACCCCTTACAGACGGACAGCGGCGAGGGTCTAAGGTTTCAGACCTGCGTGCGGACGTGCCCGCGTGTCTTTGTGTAAATATACCCTGAAAAAAAACGGGCTATAGGAAAAAGCGTTTGTGTGTAGATGCATGAGGGGGAGAGTGACACGAGAGGCTGTGACCTCCAGCAGCACTGACATGAGCTATCATCCCGATGGCCCCTCCTGACCGGCTACCAAACAGAGAGGGCACAACGCAGTTGCGTCAACTAAGTCTTTCCAGTTTGGGACCAGAGCGCAGCGGGACGCATCCCGTCCTCAATGCACACGGCCCATAGACACTTCGTACACACTACAGTTTCCCTGTCTTTTGTTTTAAGGTCAGTTCAGTCAAACCACATTGTTTTTTATTAAATTGCTATCCTCAATGGTCCTGCCAATAGTTTTGGTTTAATTCTATAATGGAGATGAGCAGCATGTGGCGTGCAACGCATTCAATTATGACATTTGAAAACATCAAGAGCAGCATGTCCCAATTAATCATGATGATCTGAGACTTCACTCTTCTTTAGAGTTTCTAAAAAAAACTAAGCCAACCAACACATTGTTCACTACAACCATGATCTTATAAGGATTTGATAATATACTTGTTTTGTCTGATCACTCATTTTTTCATTTGAAAGAACAATTTTAAAGGCAACACAAGTTTCAGTAGACATCACTTTGCCAAACATTTGCTCTTTCCAGGCTTTACATTTTAATCATGACATTGAATAACTGAGTGTTGGACCGTTGGTTACTGACCACTCACCATTTTATAACATTTAAGTGTCCTAAAGATAGAGGTACTCAAATGGATGTAGGAATAGTTTAAATAAAATAAATAACCAAAGTTCAAAATGAAACTAATAGGATTTTCTTTCCATTAGGGTTACACAACTTAAAAAAGATCTGCAAATAGGCAAGAAATCGTCCACAAATGAAGCACACAAAATCCCAAAGATCGTTGTCGGTTGACAGACTTTAAGCTATAACATTTTTATTACAATGTATGTATTATTATTTCTGTCGTTAACATATGAGGTCTCTCAGAAAGTTGGAACTAGATATATTTTTTCTTGTTCACATAGATTTAGTTTGTTACGTGTTTTTGTGTCACATGACCTTTATAAAGGCCTGATTCACACACACTAACACTATATTCAGATCTCTAATACGAGTGAACTGAGGAATATTTAGTATGTGTACCCACTAAAACAAGGCAACGCAAGTGAGGATCAACTTCCTTTGTTCCTGCGGGGAGGTTTGCTGTCTATAAACAATCGGCTTTTACGGGGGAATGTCCAAATAAAAAGCTTTTTGAAGACTTCAACCAGTCAATTAGTTGAGTAGTGTCAATAGACCTTCTGCATAATGACTCACCTGTAATTGCGTGAGAACGAGCACTTTGCAGGAGACTGAATGGCACGTCACATGAGTATGACAAAAGCCCTCGATCTGTTTTCGAAGACTCCTTCTGTAATTGACCCCAAGCCCCCCCCCGCCGTCCTGCATCCTCAACACTCCCGCAGAACACATTTATCTCTCTTATTTCCTGCGGCTCCGATAATCACATGGCCGATGACACTCACTGAGGCATTCGGTACTCAGGGCACGATTCTGCCAAACACCAACCTTGGGGGCTGGTGGACCAGACGGGAGTCGTGCTGGGTGTGCGCAGCGCAGGTGAGCGTCCCTCTTACTGAACACGCTGTGTGTGGGGGGTGAGGGGGGAGGCGGGATCATGGACAGGCCAGACATACGACAACTGGCTGATGTTATCTCAACTTCAGGCGGAGATTCAGTTGAAATGTTGTAATTGCACCGTCAAGCTGCTGAAAAGACCCCCCACCCCCCACTCCCACTCCCTCCTCCCACCCCCACCCCTTTTTCTTCTTTCTGAACACACACATACATACATCCACCCCCCCCCCAACCCTCCCCCCCAGTCGCCCCCGCCTCTTCTCCTCTGCCTTCAGCCACTTCAAAATGAAATTCTTTTAGCGGTCGCCCTCGTTTTTGACGCTGATAGGCAGGCATCAAAGGGAAGCCGGGCGGCCGTTTGAGGGCCCGAGGGCCCGAGGGCCGCGCTGGCTCCAGTAGCAAAAAACACAAACACGCCTGACTTGCGAGTAAAATAAATCACCTACCGTTTTGAGTATTTATTTTTACCACTTTCTTCAATTTACCACTGAAGAATTTAAACGCCTCCTTTTTTTTAAATATAAAAATTATGACGCTTTGTAATCATTTAGATCGGGGCCCTGTACAGACATGACGATGTACAGGGCCCTCTGCAAAACAATACACAGGAAACGTCTCCCAGCAGTTCAAAGGAGTCCCTCTCCCTAAACATTATCATATAATTTGGGCCAGCCGTCAGCTTGTAAATAAGTGATGTAGAAGCCTATTGTGTGATGGGGCACAGGTTGGAGACAGGCGTCTTTGCTCTGTCGGCATGAGCCGCTGGAGACAAAGGCAGGAGACAGAGCGTCTAACCTTTGATTCTTCTGAGGACTCAGCCGCCTTGTATCAGGGCAGGACGCATCGGCCACAATCATGCCCCCAATGTGGGACGTCAAGAACAATAGAATCACTCTCTCACAGTCGGGCTCAACAACCCACCCCGACTGCAATTGGATTAGCGAGTGTCCAACCACCACATGTTGGCCTAATTGACATAAAAGTGAAATTTGAGAACAATAAGGCCTTAACCCATGAGTGCCTGCCGGCTTTGAAATGGCATTTTTATAACAGCTTCTGTTGAAAAAAGCTTGAAAAAAGCTGGCGAGATGTCATACAAGCAATTTTTATACTGGACAGACAGAGCACCAGAAAGAGTTCCCTGCTTTTATATTTCTTTTAGCTAAAAATCAATTTCAAGGACATCTGGCAAATATTAGGCTTACTATTTAAATCAAAATTCATATTTACACAGTAATTACTGTAATTTTTTATTTTTTACAACCGCATTGTGCTAGATAATTGATATAGTTATAGTTATATATATATATATATATATACTATATATATATATATATATATATATATATATATATATATATATATTTTACACGGCCAAATTATTTAGTTTTAAGGGTCTTTGAAATGTGTTAACACAGTGCTCTATATTACGCAAATAGAAAATGGGTGCATCTTGTGATCTGCTGTACGGTGTAATTGTAGACAATTCAGTTTTATTTTTTTCTTCAAATTGTATATCATATGAAAACAATAAATATTACCAGTAAATAAACTTTACTTTTTAGACTGTTTTTACTATTTTCTCAATAAAAAACGTATACAATCCAATGTACATTATGAAAAGTTCTACAGCTTTTTATGTTTAAAATAAGGACTCAATTTATTTTTAATATGTAGATATAAATATATATATTTTGTCAAAATATATGATCATATTGTCAAAGAAACAAGAAAAAGTGAGACAAACATACACCTCAACATAAATGTTATAAATAAGGGTCCAAGTGAACATTTTTGGGAGTAAAGACCTTCTGATTGTTTGTTTTTTTCCGTCCACGTTGCTTTTTTGTTCGTGGCACAGGACCAAGTCCTCGTTAGTCTGTTTGTCAGCGGCAGCCGCAGCCCTCCACTACCATTTCCTGGTAGTTTTTGAGGACCACCTTGTCGTGTTCGTCTAGGTAGAGCATGGAGATGGCGCTGAGCTCTGTGGGCACGCAGCAGGCCTTGGGAATGTTGTTGTTCACAGAGTTCACCAGCGTCTGAACAATGGCATGGTTGGTTGAGTTCAGATGATCCGCCAGAGGAAAGGGACATTCCCCGTGGCAGTAATAGGCCTGGTAACCAGGGGGCGCCACTATCCAGTCATTCCAGCCTACATCGCTGAAGTCCACATATAGCGCGTGGCGCCGGCAGTTGCGGTTGCGCTTGCGGCCCCGCTGCTTGGGGCTGCGCTTGGTCCGACGGGTCAGCGGGTGACCTTTCCCGTCGTGGCCAAAGGTAACCAGGAGGGGACGTAGCTGCTCCCAGTCCTCGCCGGGCTCCCGGTGCAGCGAGCGGCTGACGCGGACGTGCCGGCCCTGGTGGCGCGGCGTCTGGTTGAGGTGCAGGACCTCCACCACCAGCCCGTGGTTCGGGAGGCTCTCGCGAGTCCAGCGCAGCACCGCCGGGCTCACATCGAAGCTCTCCCAGCGCGACGCGTTGTGCCGCACGAGCCGCGTGTCCAAGAGCTGCGTGATGAGCTGGCCCGGCCGGGGGGGCTTCAGCACCTCGTACACATTTATCCGGTGAAGCCCCTGGTTGTCTGACGAGGCGCCGCCGATGGCCTCGTCGATCTGATGGCGGTAGAGCCTGAGCTCGGCTGAAGAGAGCAGCTCGTCCTCCGGGATGCTGCTGAGGTTGAACAGGAAGCGAAGGGGGGCGGTTTCTCCATCGTCCAGATTGTGCACCCGCTCCATGTGCTCTGAAAATGAGAAGCATGACTGATGAGCTTCATGATTAATCCATCTCGATCTATGCAATGTGTAGAAATAAAACTCACTCATGCAAAGATAAACATTTTCAAAGAACAGGATGTTGGTTGACTGTGATCGTTGTTGTCTCCAAACAGCACCAACAGATGAAACTAAACTCACCCCTCACTCTAGCCGGCTTAATTGACACAAAAGAATGTACATTTTTAAGGCCTCTGGGGTGTTCAGGAATATAAATACACAGCGTCCACGCTTCCTATCTATCTGTAAGGATTATCGTGCCCTTCTCTCAATGCCTTTCTCCGAGCACTTTGCTGAAACACGCATTACAAGGAGGGTGGTGATTAACGTACCACAGCTACAGTATAAACACAGTGGAGGTACCCTGTTCCACGCTCAGTCTGCAGATTTCTGGCAAGATCACCATTGTCGGAGAAAGGAATGTTGTGTCTACTATTTTCCTGCTCAATCCACCCCTGTTATTTCACACCCAGGCCCTAATCTCACCCAGGTGGTTCTCATTATTAAAACCTGCTGTGTTTTTGATTAGCTCTGCAGTTTGTTCACTTAAGACATTCATCATTTTCATCATGAATAATCGTTAAGGAGTCACACAATACAGCAGAATCTCATTTATCTGGAGCCCGTGGAAGACTCGCGGGGGAAAAGCAATGTATTCAAATCCTTGAGCGAGGCTTATTCAAAATGTGAAACTCACCTGCCACACGCGGCCAATAAGAACATGTCTGTCTTGCTGCGGATACGCGGTTCGTCTATCCTGTAGATATGTCCCCTCACCTACCTGTCCATCTGCTGCAGATGATAATCGCTCACGGTGTTTTGGACAGAACAGTCAACTGAACCTCACCGTCGCACAGTGGTGCCTCCATTCGCTTGAAAGCGAGCACTCCCACTCAGAAGGCCTCAAAGTGTGTTATTAACATAGTTTCACGCAGGAGAAGGACGGTAAATGCCCGTAGAGAGAAGAAGACGCTAATACAGACACATCTGCAAAACAGACCGCAGTCCCTACTCCAGAGGCGGCGCTCTTTCTTCCTACGCACCGCTGCTACTACGAGCCGCGTGTTTGACAAGCCCCATTAAGGCTGACTCATCCCCCCTTACTCACCCCAACCCTCTGAAGCCGGACATGTTCTGTAGCCCTAAAGCCCCACAGTTTTCTCAACTCACTGGGCTCCAAGACCACTTCCTCGCTCGCTAAGACTCGCTAAGACTGGTCCGACCTCCCGCCCTCCCCCGTCTCTCTGCTAAATATCGCCTTCAAGTATTTATCCAACCGCTTCAGTTTTCAGCTTTCCAAAACTGGACTTACATTCAGCACATTGTACCCGGGATCGTCTCAGAGCATATTTGAAACATCTGCGTTTGTCTCTAAAGCTAAGCAGATCCAAGTCCCAATAAACAGAAACCCTTCTAACGTTCCACTCCTTCTATCATACCTGCTTCTCAGACTGAGTTTTTCCATCTCTACAGAAAGTGGCAGCATCTGCTCTCAGCACCCACATTGTTAGCAGCGGGGGCTTTATTTAGACGGCTACAGAGTAGCATTAAAGATAATTGCACGTTAAGGAAGGTCCTTCTAAAAGTGCCCTCCATATAAACTGAGACAAGCACATTTCAATTCCAGGCCAAGATCGGGCTTTTTTAAGCGACGTGCTGCTGGGTGGGGTGAGAAGCGTAAGTCAGTAATATGAAGGCATGCTTTTCCTACAGCTGCTGACCAAACATGTAGCGTTTTCTTCTCCAAATGAGGCTCTTGAGAGCTTGTCTAGCGGATTTCTTTTTGCCGCTCTGCAGACAGTGTTTGGTTACCACATCCTTAGATTCCATGGTTATGGTGGGATGGGTGGAGCTGCGTTATAATCATGTCTAATGTGATGTAGGACATGTTTTTCTTTACCCTGAGACCATTACTACCAAAATCATTGGAATGCCTGGCAGTAAAAACCTCTGGTGTAATGTTTCCGTGGTGACTAGAAGATATTTGTGCCTTTTAATCCCCCTTTACTATATACAGTACTAAATGTGTTCCCTTACCCTCGTGGTGGAAGCCCCTCACAGTGTTGGCCCGGCTGGCTGACCTCTCGGGGTACTCGAAAGCGATGTCGTGCACCCCGGCCTCCTCCGCCTCCCCTGACTGCAGCCGATAGAGGTCCAGCAGGTACCGAGGCACCGAGGCCGATCGGCTGGGCCGCGGCCGCTTCTTGAGGCCAAACATGTGCAGCAGCGTGGCCTCAAAGTCCCGCAGCAGTTCATGGCTCTGAGAGGCCGAACGACCCTGCAGGCCCGGTACTTTCTTTTTCCCTTCTTCAGGTATCAGACTGGCATGGTTGCTCTCTCCCAGCAGGACTTGGCATATTAAAATGACCATCAGCATTCGATTACCAGGAATCATGATGTCTCTGAGGGTAAAAGCAGCGATAGAAAAATAAGAACAGGGCAGAGGAGAAGTAAACACGTCAACGATGGCCTCCATTTTAAGACTTGTCTGTCCTTTTCCTATATTTCTTCACTAGCTGCAACACACTCAAACAGCTGTTCCCATTAAGGGCACACTAATTGGCTTTAATGGTGCAGTCTGCCTTGTTTACAGTCCCCGATCAGATAGACTACTTGGAGTTTATCTTCGGCGACATCCTCCAAAGGTAAACAGCTGGTTCAAGAACCCAATCCCCCGCTCCACTATGATTAGACAAATAAAAGAGGCAGCCCTGGGCTCAAAGCAAATTCTTAACTCAATAGTGGAGGCCCCTCACAGTCTTATTTAACATGCCGTGGGGTGGACTAAGGACTATGTCTAGAAGTCTCCCTCATACAAGTGTCTTACCTTCCATACAAGTCTGGATGAACACTACACTGACTCGGTGGACATAGGGGGGGAAAGGTGAGATGCAGCAATATGTGTCAATGTGTGCAAGTGGCATGGCCCTCTTACTTACCGACAGAAAATAAAGCATGGGAAAACAGTCCATGTTTGTTGGGAGCAGGCAATGGACACGTTCTTCCAGGAAATGTTAGGTGGTGTTGGAGGGCCGCAGGAGAACGTCGGAGTGACCCTGTTCCTAAAAGACATAGGTTAAAACACGTGAATGCAGTAACAGACCCTTGTTAGGATATCTACTTAGAGTAGCAGCGGATGTATCTGTGTCGATGTGTATGTTGGTTAGGAGAGACCATTTCCTTTGAGGTGTATCATTTTGGCTCATGGGCAAAGCTAGCTATTTACTGAAACTGGAATGTGAGGAAGTATGTGCTACAAGGCAGACAGCAAATCACTAATGTCTTGCACTCACCTCGGAGAGAAAACGCACCTTTTTGCATCTATTCCCAAAAAATTGATAAGAAACCGGGTTCAAAAAGCAAAATCAAAGAGCAAAAAGAAGAAGAAGAAAAAAGATAAGTGCCGACTTCAACTAACCAAAGAGCTGATAACACCACTTTGATCATGAATGGTTAAATCTATATTCAAGACAAGTGGGCTGTTTGCTTAGAGAAACCTTCTCCGAGTGAACTTTGTCAGCTTTTATTCATCCAAGCGGCTGCGACCACCTTTTTCAGAAAAGGAACTGAACGCAGCCATTGCAAAAGTGCTTCATCTTTTACTAACGCTTCCTCACTTCAGGGATCACACAGGTCAAAGTGTTGCTGATGGCGAGCTTTCTGCTCTTTGACATTACTGTCATCAGTACATTCAGCGCTGGTGTGTGGTGATGCATTTTGAAACGTATATTTGGCTCCTAATCTCATTTATATGTATGTAAAAGTTTTTTTACAAATGATTGAACATAAATCTTGAAAACACCTCCTAAAACACATTAAAAAATCTGTATTTTTCCCCGGGAAGGTTTAACAAGCAGCAGCATGGTTCTAATGACTAATTCTTCAAATGCGTCATATAAATGTGCTAAATGCTGTTAAATCAGACTCGTAAAATTACTGGTGTTTTGGTTGACGCAGTGACCACAAAAACAGCACTACAGAGCAAACATTGCTACTTGGTTCTCTGAAGCAACATTGGTCTTTGGTCATCATTTGGAGCCCGTTCCACTGGAGAGCACCCAAGTGTTGCTGCACAGTGAGGATCCACATTAACAGGAACATTGTGTGCATGTCTGGGTGTGTATTTGTGCGATTATCTCGTCCTGTGCATGGATCACTGTACATGCAATCAAGGATTTTTTTTCTAACAGCATTAGACTTTGACCTCGGATTGACCCCTACCCCCCACCCATCCCCTCTTTCTCGGTCATGACACTAGATCCAGTGTGAGTGGAGAAAGGGTGATGTGCGGTGCCTATGCGTGCATGAGCGAGGCTCCGTGCATGCCTATACGCGTGCACGAGTGTGCCACCGCTTGCATGTTCGTGAGAACCGAGGCCAGGAGAGAGGAGGGCTCAGAACATGATCAGCTCTATTACCCATGGGGTGGGGAATAACTTGTGTGTGTGCGCGCGTGTGTGTGTGCGCACATCTCTTACAACAAACGTTCATTGTACAGCGAGGGCCTCTCCCATGATTACAGGGATTCATAGCGCTCAAAAACACTGACCATACAGAATATCTTGTAACTGTAACCAGCCACTGACAAAGCTGCAGGCTAAAGCAGACAGATACTCAAAGTGGTGCGAAGATGATGAAAGAAGACATGAGGCGGACGGGGAGTAACTTTCAACTCTGGAAAAAGTCATTGCGATCATTTTTCTGATGTGTTTTCACCGGTGATGGTTTATAAATATATATATATATTTGGATCAGTATTGTGGACTCGTATTTGATCCCATTGATCAAACAGTGACCCAAGATTATAAGAATTTAAGAAGCTTGACAGGATATTTGAACCGACTGTCAGACACAGATGCGTTTCACAACAATAAATGCAGACTATAGTTGCGGTTAGGCCAAAGTCAACTGCCCTTGGCTTTGCTCGACCTCCCCTGGCCCCTCTCTCTCTTTCTGATCAGAGATAATGCGATCAGACTATCCACGTTGCTCTCCAAATGTGTTTTCCTGAGGAATTTGACAGTGATGATGAGAAGGAAGATGGGAGGGAGGGAGGAACGGAGGAGGGTGACAGGTGGGAACCGCCAAATATCTGAAATGATTTCATCAACTCATCTTGTGTTTTTGTACCTCCACATTCATGCTAAATGGCCTTGTTTGCTAAAGGTTATATAGAGTTCATTATGACACCATGTATTAATTCTCCTGATGGCTTCAGGTAATTGCCAATGGTTGCAAAGAAATAAAAAGTCAAAGACTATGGTTTAAAAAAAGGGACTTTTGAGTTTTTAGATAATAAGTAAATTGCAACTAAAGCTCAAATGATTTTAAATGACTACTTCTCAGAGAGACAGTGTACCCAACAAAATGCTAAATACTCATTTGTGTTGAAAGAAATAAAACCACAACCTGTAATTTGTCTGTTGTTTTGTAGCTTTGGGATTTGATTTTCTCAGTGAGCAGTTCAAGAGTAAGAACATTCATAGTCAGTGAGGTCACCGAAGCCAGGTTAATGGTTTATTTCTCTTTGTGCGTTCTGGGGGGAGAAACTGACAGAAACAATGAGTAGTAGGAGTAAACCTATAACCATAATACAGATTTTTCTCTTTTTGAGAAGAAATACAAATGCTAGAAAAAAGCATAATTTTGTAATATCAAATGCGTTAAAAAAGTGTTAAATGATATAAATGTGAAACCCAAATGATCACCAACAAAATGTTCCCCTGAAATGATCCAAAGAAACAGAATATGAAAAAGCATTTTCCCAGATGCTTGTGATTTTTTTTACACAACTTATGTGGTTATAAAATACTTTCGTTACCAAAGTTTGGCATGTCGGTTGCAGAGAAACTTCAGTTAAAAAGCAAGTGTGTGCCAGAAATGCCATGAGCCTGCAGGCCGCAATATATTTTCCGTTCTGCATTTAATGATGCAATTACACTTTGTAATAATTTCTTTCAAAACAGGTGAAAACATTTAGTCCTAATATTACAATGATGAACAATTACAAGCTGGAATCACCTCTGTTGTGGCACTGTAAATTGTTGGCAATGACGGCAGACTTTGTCACAATTTAACAAAAATGCACTGTCTCAATTGGCAATGAATCATTTTTGACAATAATATCTAAATATTGAATTAACTGGAATAGAAATAAATTAAAGAGAGCAACGTTTTTTTCCCCCCTCTTTATTAGTCTGGGTTAAATTCTGCGGCGCGTCATCTGCATCTTCCCCATTACGCGCTGGTATGACACGATGAGAAACAGACACAGGTGTTTAATCAGGAAGAATCGGTGCCGAACTTCAGTTTGAAAGGTTCATATCGAAACAATGTAAATATTTAAATGGTATAACGTAATTGAACGCTGTGTTTGGAAATGACCTCACTATTGTGGTTTGTCACCGCTCAACTCTCCGGCAGAGGCTTCAAATCAGCCCCGAGCTCCACGAGGATTATTGCCCTATTTCACATCTATTTCTATTTCAATCTATGCCCCCTTTTATGTGTAAATAGGACGCGCTATACGATGCATATTGACCTTTACGCTTCTACATTTCCACCTGGAATGCTGTCCAAGTCGGTTAAACGCGCGCAAACAACCAAAAATAAAAAAGCCACACAATGTCAACTTCCTCCCGCACAACTAAAATACGTTTCGTTTCCAAAAGCTGAGTTACTGATCCTGTGCCGGTGGGTGTGCGCTTACCATCGGTAGAGGTACAGGTATCCTCGGATGAAGCGAATATGAAAGGGAAGGTGTGAGTCGGTCCAGGCGGAAAGCCGAAAAACGGTGAAACGAGTCTCAAAGGGGAGCCTGGGTGCCTTTTTGGCTCATTAATCCTTTGGCGACACCTGCAAACGGACAAGACGGGAACGGGGTCGTGGCGAAGGCCGGCGGTCGGGGTCTGCGGCGGGGTTTCCTATCCGTCTCCAAGTCAGCTTGTGACGGCGGGCGGTGCGCAGGACGGCCAGTCGTTACAAATGATCCAGCATCTATGGTCCCTTGCAGTTTTTATGTGTCCGCCCAATTTACGGTCCTTGCCTCCTCCTCCCTCCCTCCTTCTCTCCCTCCGTCCCCGACCGCCACCTCCCTCATCTGTCTCAAACACCTTGGATAACCCCCTTCTCCCCTCCTCCACTTTAAATAAGAGTTCGTTGCGCGAAGTTTTTTCTTGTCCTTACATGAAACTTTGTAATTTGACTGTGAATAACAGTGAATGGGTCGGATGCCCAATCTGCATTTAAATGCTAGGACTCGGACAGGTAACGTCGTGGTACATTTATTGCCACATCAAGATTTGGCATATAGCCTAACTTTAAACACAGCTGGTAAACGATTGAAAATCAATTTCTAAAAAAAAACCACTAGACCAGTTTTACTAAAAAGGGCTCTGTTTTGAACGAACGAATTTTCCCGAAAATAATTTTAGCCTCTGCCCCGCATTTCCTTGATGTGGGCACATTAATATGGCCTTAAATGTTATTTGTTCCTTGAATCTATCTCAGAAGATGTTTTTGTGAGTTAATCTAGCTAAGCTAAGTAACCATGAAAAGCATTTGATGAATGATTACACATGTTCCAGGTTCTCTAGGGTGTAATGAGTTAAAGGTTTTTCTCCAAACCCCAACATCTCACAAAAAACAGTACACCTTTGGAGTGATTTCAGCTGCACACGTGTAGCTGTAAAATAATGATTTAATCAGAAACTGCACTCTTTCAAAAACTCTTCACAATAATATTAATTATTGTAATAATTATAATGATAAGTAATAATAACACTTCTACTGTCAATAATACATTTTAAAACATGATTAAAATAATAATTTTAATAATTTTAACACAAATATTAATAATTATATAATGATATTAATATGATAGCATTCTTAAAAAATGCGAGAGAAGAAAGAACTTCACAATACTGCAGTGTAAATTATTTGTCTTATATTTAAAATGCTAGAAGAGCTATACCTCATAATACATTACTCTTTAATATTCTTTTTTCACAAGCATTTCTAACTGTTTGATTCAATAATTGTTTGGCAGAAAGAAACAAATAAAAATCTGGTTTTACTTAAGACGTCTGGGAAATGGAACTCTGTTCTTATTTATGTCAAACCGTCCAACAGCCAAAAAGTATTACGACATTAAACTATTTTAAAAATAACAATTGAAGCTCTGTTTTGTGTTGTTAACAATAGTGTCTCGCCCTGCAGCTCCTCTCATCCACACACTTACTATGTACTTATTTATTGCCTTTATATATTGTATGAACCTTTGAAAAACGCAGGGGACCCAGAAAGCTGACCTGTGGCACACCATACAGTATTTGAAGAGGCTGTAATTGATATCATATTAGTGGAATCATTTCAGAGAATCTTGAGATCAAAAGCTGCACTAAAATCTAAAAAAAAGAACCCAAGACATATGGTATAGTTGAGAGTCATATATTTTTACGGCATGCAGACTTTCAAAAATAAAACAATTCTCTTCAATGACCACACAGATATTCATGCACTGCACCTCTCACTAGATTATCCCAGTAAGATATGCTATTGTTTGATGTAAGAATCCTTTTTGTTTTAAATGGCAATATGGAGAACATTGTCCAGCGTTTTGGGTAATTTGCGTATACTTATAATGCAGCAATGGTGTTGAAGTGGCTTACTGATAAGATGCATATCTCATTTGTGTTGTTGTCACTGCCTGAGGATTTACCCTCAGGTAATAATTACATTTAGTTAAAACCTTTTCACTGATTTTATGTCCAATGTGAGTAAAAGATAGCTTCAGACAAAATGGGTTAACATTTTACAGATCCCAAAGTATTTAATTTAAAAGTACAAAGAGGACTTGAAGGTCCACTACTTATTTATGAAAAATGGAGGGATAATTACTCTAAATGAAAACACTTCTTGAGGGCATGTTGTCTATGGTGTTGTTCAAAAAGTTATGCAAAAATTGTAGATGAAAATGTTTATTTCATCCCTATTGAATTCATTGATATAACTACATTATTGGAGCCACTATTTCATAGTGAAACCAGCTTAGGGCAAAATGGTAACAAGTGTCATGACTCACTGACACTGTGCTTAAGATAAGATAATAAAACATATTTTTCTATCTATTCTAGGACATTATTGTATCACATATGAAGGGTAAACTAGCGAGGATCCAATTATGACAACATTTAGAATATGATTCTTGGTTGTGTAGTTAAGACAGATGAGATTTTTGTGTTACGTCGGTGTTAAGTCGGCATATAGTACACGTACGGTAATCTGTAGTTAAATAAAATGTAACAAGGCAAGACTACGCAAGCCTTACCTTATACCACAAGATGCAAATCACAGATAAGCCCTATAAAAGTCACGTAAAAAACAAACCAACAACAGAGTCATGGAGCAACTTGAGATGGACAGATAACACAAAGATCAACATGTACCAGTGGCTGGAAATGGAAAGTTTGTAGAAACAAAGAAACGTTTCCAGGTCATGTTTTCTTGGGGTGGATCGGTGGCCGCAGCAGCAGCATACTTTCACACATCTCATCATTTAAAATGAGATGTTACGATCATGACTAGAACCCCAAATCTACTCTTCGAGGACAGTTTCACCAAATTAGCCCTCAAAGCGTCCATTTGGCTTTATCTTTCCTGTAAAAATACACAAATATATTCATAAATGTCATGATCGTTTGCGAGTGAGACAGAAAAAAGGAAGAATGGTCATCCTTGTTTCAGGGCAAAAATTGTATTCTGGTGATAAAATAATTTTGTATCAGCATGCTTGAAGTTACTCATAAATATCTATAGCTAATGCATAATGATCTTTGCAATTTCTGAATGTATTTTCCTTTTTTCACAACAAATATTTTGTTCTTCTTTCAATTCATTTGAATGTGTAATATTTTTGAAAGACACACTGAAATGTGCTCCATTATTTCGTTCATCATCATTAAGTAACAATGTCACACTGACGTTCTCCAGCAGCCTTTAATGACTTCTTCCACACATGAAGCCTCAGCCGTGTTTTACCAACCAGGCTGCTGCGAGCACTTGAAGATATGCCGTTGATGTCCCCTCCGAGGTGTTGACCAGGCTTAGCCCCTATGAGCCCCCTCCAGTTCCGAAGGTGATTACCAACTGCGGGTGGCTTTTTGACCACACCGACTATTGACTTCCTCCACAACTTACAACATTAACCTCTGATCCCAAAGTCTGGGACTAATAGATCAGAGAAGTTTGCATAAAGAGCGTCCCGTGCCTCCAACTATCTACTTAGTTCTTCATCTTATTCAATTTTCTAGTTTGTTTTTCCTTTTTATTCATGTTTTGCCCGTCATTTTGTTTGAACGCTGTCTATAGAAAACTGGCCGTCCTGTTTCATTGCGTGAACTGAGATCTGTCCCAGTCATCAGTCTCTCAATCTCCAGCCATTGCCTTTGGACATTTAGGAAGAGGTCAGTCGTGCTTTGCTGCTTTGGCGTTTTCTGAGCGATTTGGTGGGGGGCAAAGGGGGGATCTGCCACTGAATCCTGCTCGGAGCCGCTCACCTGTGAACACCGGCTCTTAATCAGCAGCAGCTCAAAGGTGACCCAGCCACCTAGAGCCTGAGCCCCATGTCATAACACACCGTCAGTTTCCCTTTCTTCTCTTCCAGACACTCGGTGAAGTGTTCACTAGTGCCGACACGCGCCACGGCCATTGATCAGACCTCAGCCTTTACTAATGCTCGGACATCTCGTTGTGACATTCTTCAACACAGCCGCCTTGTGTTTCTCGGGGCGCCGGGGCTGTAGCTTGCTTGTCCTGTAATCCCCGGACTCGGCCCTGGGACCTGAATGCCTGTAAGTGGTACGGGGCTTTAAGGGGAGGGAGAGGGACAAGGGAAGCAGAGTTTGAGGATGGATTGGACAAACTATTTTAATCCCTGTAATGGAATTGGCATGTAAACTCATGAACCAAGAAGTAAACAGAAAACGGAGAGGGATGGAAGTTGAATTGGTCTGAGGCTTTCCGGGGGGCGGAGGGGGGGGGGGGGGGTTAAAACTCACATTCAGCCCCCCTCTAAATTCCCCCCTCCCCTCCACCTTCACCCAGAACTAGATCGGTCAAAGTATTTTCCGCGACCATCCCCTTCAACAGACTTCACTGTTTAGACAAACACTAAAAGTCTCCTTCTATAAAGAATGTCTGGGTTTCAAGTCTCTTGTTCTGTGGTCAAAGAAACATTTGCACGGAGATGTTTGGCCTGAATAACTGAGCGAGTGTTAGCGGCCGTAGTCATTCTAATGATAAGATGAAGGGATTTGGGTTCAGAATAAAAGCCCTGCCCAGCCCATCGTCTCACATGACACTCTGTTGGAGAGTATCATCAGACCCATTAGAAAGAGAGATCGTCAGTGACACTCCGGCCCGCAAGCGATTGAGGTCCAGTCCTCCGGGCTGCCCATGGCCGTCCTGCCAAGTGAGTGACAAGACTTAATGTCCCTCCATCTCCTGCTGTCGCAGGCGCGCAGCTGCCCCTGCCAGATGTTATCGAAGCGGGCTGGTCAAGTGAGTGGCGGAGGGGGCCATTTTTAGGCCTTTTTCTCGGCCTCTGTCAGGGTGCAAGGAGGCACACTCAGGCCCCAACACTGTCCAGACGCAGCCTGAGTGGGGCAACGCCTCGTGCTGGGACTCTGGGGGTTGAGGGGGCGGGGGGGCTACGCCAGTAAACCTTCTCAATGGATTAAAAAGCTTTTTTATCACCATTTGGATTGGCACTTGAGGATTCTCCTTTAATCTGAGAGGGGAATTGACTTTGCCCACACCGCCGTTTCCTAAGAGGCCGAGCTAAGAGGCAGCCAAATAAATCTCCAGCGCGCAGCCCCGGGTTGTGACAGAAGGGGCCTGACAAGTGTTGTGTGCTGGTGCTCGAGAAAGAAAGATTAGACTTGAATAGATGGAAATTGATGCATTCGACTGTGATACAGTGTCCCGAAAGGTCCTGCGACCAG